AGCTTTTTATTTTGATGTAGTCCCATTTTTCATTTTCTCTTTAGTTTCAACTGCCCTAGGAGCTGTATCAGTGAAGAAATTGCTTTGGCATATGTCTGAGATTTTGTTGCCTTTGTATTCTTCTAGAATTTTTATGGTTTCCTGTCGTACATTTAAGTCCTTTATCCATTTTGAGTTTATTCTTGTGTATGGTGTAAGTTGGTGGTCTAGTTTCATTTTCTTGCATATATCTGTCCAATTTTCCCAACACCATTTATTGAAGAGACTATCTTGGCTCCATTGTATGTTCATGCCTCCTTTGTCAAAAATTAATTGAGCATATTGGTTCGGGCTAATTTCTGGACTCTCTATTCTATTCCACTGATCTATATGTCTGTTCTTGTGCCAGTACCAGGCAGTTTTGAGAACAGTGGCTTTGTAATACAGCTTGATATCTGGCATTGAGATCCCACCTACTTTGTTCTTTCTCAGGATCGCTGCAGCTATTCGGGGTCTTTTTTTATTCCAGATGAATTTTTGGAGAGTTCGTTCTAGATCTTTGAAGAAGGCCATTGGTATTTTAATGGGAAGTGCGTTGAATTTATAGATTGCTTTGGGTAGTATGGACATTTTAATGATGTTGATTCTACCAATCCAAGAACATGGTATGTTCTTCCATCTCTTTATGTCTTCCTCTATCTCTTTTTTCAACGTCCTGTAGTTTTCTGAGTAGAGGTCTTTTACCTCTTTAGTTAAGTTTATTCCTAGGTATCTTAATTTTTTTGGTGCGATGGTAAATGGGATTGTTTTTATAATCTCTCTTTCTGAAAGTTCACTATTGGTGTATAGAAATGCCTCGGATTTCTTGGGGTTAATTTTGTATCCTGCTACATTGCCAAATTCATGTATTAAGTCTAGTAGTTTTTTGATGGAGTCTCTAGGGTTTTGTATGTATAATATCATGTCATCTGCAAATAAGGACAGTTTTACTTCCTCTTTTCCAATTTGGATGCCTTTTATTTCTTCTTCTTGTCTAATTGCAATGGCTAATACTTCCAGGACTATGTTGAACAAGAGTGGTGAGAGTGGGCACCCCTGTCTTGTTCCTGTTCTTAGGGGAAATAGGTTTAGTTTTTTTTTTAAATATATTTTATTGATTTTTTACAGAGAGGAAGGGAGAGAGATAGAGAGCCAGAAACATCGATGGGAGAGAAACATCGATCAGCTGCCTCCTGCACATCTCCTACTGGGGATGTGCCCGCAACCCAGGCACATGCCCCTGACCGGAATCGAACCCGGGACCCTTCAGCCCGCAGGCTGACGCTTTATCCACTGAGCCAAACCGGTTTCGGCATGGGTTTAGTTTTTGCCCATTGAGTATGATGTTGGCTGTAGGTTTGTCATATAAGGCTTTTATTATGTTGAGGTATGATCCCTCTATCCCCACTTTGCTGAGAGTTTTTATCAAGAAAGGGTGTTGGATTTTGTCAAATGCTTTTTCTGCATCAATTGATATGATTATGTAATTTTTGTCTCTCGGTTTATGTGATGTATCACATTTATTGATTTGCGGTTATTGTACCATTCTTGCATCCCTGGAATAAATCCCACTTGGTCATGGTGTATGGTCTTTCTAATGTATTGCTTAATTCGATTTTCTAGAATTTTGTTGAGGATTTTAGCATCTATGTTCATCAAGGATATTGGCCTGTAGTTGTCTTTTTTTATGGTGTCTTTATCTGGTTTTGGGATTAGGGTAATGCTGGATTTATTGAAAGAACTTGGAAGTGCTCCTTCCTCTTGAACTTTTTGGAATACTCTGAGGAGGATAGGTTTTAGTTCTTCTTTGAATGCTTGGTAGAACTCCTCTGGAAAGGCGTCGGGACTAGGGCTTTAGTTTGCTGGAAGATTTTTGATCACGGCTTCAATTTCATCGGTAGTCATTGGCCTATTCAAGTTTTTTTATTCATCCTGGTTGAGTTTTGGGAGCTTGTATTTTTCTAAGAATATGTCCATTTTGTCTAGGTTGTCCTTTTTGTTGGAATAGAGTTGTTCTTAGTATTTTTTCATAATCGTTTGTATTTCTGTGGGATCAGTTGTTATTTCACCTCTTTCGTTTCTGATTTTGTTTATTTGGGTCCTCTCTCTTTGCTTCTTGGTGAGCCTGGCTACAGGTTCATCAATCTTGTATATTCTTTCAAAGAACCAGCTCTTGGTTTTGTTGATCTTTTGTATTGTTTTTTTTTGTTTGTTTGTTTCTATTTCGTTTACCTCTGCTCTGATCTTTATTATTTCCTTCCTTCTGCTTATGCTGGGCTTTTCTTGTTGCTCTCTTTCTAACTCTTTGAGTTGTATGGTTAGGTAATTTATTACCATTGTTTCTTGTTTTTTTGTGGTAGGCTTGTAGAGCTATGAACTTCCCTCTCATGACTGCTTTCACTTTGTCCCATAGATTTGGGATTGTTGTGTTTTCATTGTCATATGTTGCCATGATGCTTTTTATTTCTTCTTTGATCTCTCTGGTACTTATGAGTTTAAGTATGGACCTATTGTACTCTGAAAAGGTTTGTAGAAATGGAATCAAGGCCCAAATGGGGTAAAAGAATTACCAAGTTAGAAGTTATTATCAGAGCTAGGGCTAGAAACCTGTATCAATCACTGAAGATTGGATACAGGGCTTTCTCTCCCCCCTCCCCCCACTGTCTACACTAGAGCCAATTTAAGACTATCTTGGAGCTCTAAACTATCAACTTAAGTAAATCCATAAAAAATCAGGCTAAATTTGTCTTTGGCATCCTATCAATCACTGTGTTTTTATTTTCTTTATAGATATAATACCCTTAGATTCTCTTCAGATAGTCTAGACAGAGGTTCCATTCCCATAATTTTCTAAATTATAAAGAAAACTCATCTCTTATCATAATTTACCTGTCCTATATCCTTTTCCTGTTTCCTCTCTGTGCAATGACTGGTAATAAATTAACCGGACAAAATAATAAAGCCCATAATGGTTACCTAAGTTGATTCACAGGATGGTGAAAAATTTTAGGAATAGGATCAGGGATATAATTTTTGTCAAGGGCACTTTTTATGACCTCTTTATAATACTAGAGGCTCAATGCATGAAATCCATGCAAGGGACTTGGTCCTCCAAGCCACAGCAGCTGACTCGGCCCTCGCAGCCCTGGCTTAGTCCGGAAGGTCATCCAGAAGGACGTCTAGAAGGTCGTTCGGCTGTCTGGTCTAATTAGCATATTGTGCTTTTATTATTATAGATCCAGAGGATTAAAAATGGTGGCAGAGTAAGTGGATGCTGCACGGACACGCTCCCAGGAAGAAACTGGTATTACAACTAAAATACAGAAAAGCATCCTAAATAACCAATGGAAAACTCGCAGGAGAGAACCCTGACACCTGAGAACCGAAAGTGGAGACCGAATAGAGACTGGTAGAAGGGGCGGAGGCACGTAAAGGGCTGGCCAGGTGCCCACAGACAGAAGCTGAAGTCCTGGAGAGATATCTCAGCTGTGGGGGTTTGCCACTGAGAACTATGGGATCTAATCCCCAAGCTGGGCCCCTGAGCAGAGAGCACCAAAACTGAGAAGGGTACCCACATAACATCTGGCTGTGAAAAGCAGTGGGATGCTGTGTGTCGGGGAGTGACAGCTGAAAATTCAGGCACCCTCTTAAAGGGCCAGTGCACAAAATTCCCTGAGGAGCCACCCACCTTGTGCTCTGGCAGAGGGAGGGAGAGGTGGACTGGAGCTGTGAGATCAAAAGTCAGCACTGGGGACTCGGGGGATAGAGCTTAGAAGGCAGACACCCCAAGTTTCCTGGGCTGAGTCATTCCCTCACACAGCAGAGGACATCTTTCCCACATAGACATTTGCCTTGCCTGGGGGAAAACAGTTGACACATCCTATTGGAAAACACCTTGCCCTGAGGCCACTTAAGAGATTAAAAATAACAATTAGCCTGCAGGCAGAAGCAACTGCCCCACCCTGTTGAAAAAAAATCTCACCACACCTGAGGACAATTGCCTGCAGAGCAATACAAGTCAGAATCCTATCAGTCTGTAGGCAGAGATGGTCCCTGGAGCTTTTGAGTCTTTGCCTGACCTAATTAGTCAGAAACAGCCTTTAACAATATCCTTCACTAGAGATTTAGAGGTGTAGAGCAGTCGTTCTCAACCTTCTGGCCCTTTAAATACAGTTCCTCATGTTGTGACCCAACCATAAAATTATTTTCGTTGCTACTTCATAACTGTAATGTTGCTACTGTTATGAATCGTAATGTAAATATCTGATATGCAGGATGGTCTTAGGCAACCCCTGTGAAAGGGTCGTTCGATCACCAAAGGGGTCGCGACCCACAGGTTGAGAACCACTGGTGTAGAGGATCTACTTAATGCATAGTCGCAAACCCAAACAGACAGCCAAAATGAGGAGACAAAGAAACAAACCCCCAAATGAAAAAACTAGAGAATTCTCCAGAAGAAGAGATAAATGAAGCAGAGATAAGAAATTTATCAGAGTTCAGAGTAATGATGGTAAAATAATATCCACATTGTCTGTAGGATGAAAGTGCAGTAAAATGTTTCTGAGCATTTGACCTTATATATTCTATCAAATGATATAGTCAAATACTTAGAAAAATCAGGAGAAAATTAGATTGATAAGGAACTAAAACTGAAGGTAAATGAAAGGTGCTATGATATCCACTTTTCAAGACAGTATAATCTGGCTTGTGTTACTTTTCAATTATCAAAGCACTTATCAAACTAGAAATGTAATTTATACTAACAAGGTAAGAATTTACAGGTTGTGTGACTCTTGGTCTAAGAAAAAATTGCAAAAAATAAAATTTTGCTATATTTATAAGGTAATCAATAAATCCAAAAGTAAAACCTGGTGTCTATCAAAGAACAATATTTTTAAAAAATCTGATATGGCTATTAAGCAAAACTATGAACATTTATTTTTAGATCAGAACCATATATTTTTCTAGATTTAAGAAAGCCATTTCACAATTAACACTTTTTATTTAATTTAAAAGAACAAAAGCTACAATTCCCACCAATGGAAAATGAGATAACTATTTCATAGATATTTTAGTCTGTAATAATCTCTTCTATACCTCCTCAGGATGTTCCAATATGAACAAACTTATACTTTCAGTAAAAAGGACAAAGCATCAATTACAAACAAAATAGAAGATTACCACACTGAGGTCATACCATTTAGTCAAGTACCAAGAAAGTTAAGTAGGTTTAACTGAAACTTAGCAAAAGAGTAATTTCTAATTTCATTACCCAGTGAAAATAATTGTCATTTATACACTCTCATTTACAATAGGAAACATGTATGAATTGTGAATATTTAGCAAAAATGTCTCCATAATTGCACTTTGAATGCCTTCATGACTTAACAATGGATCTGCTCTTCAACAAAACTTAATGAAATATGAAAATTCTTTCATGAATCAATCATGCAGTAAGTAATGAAAAACACTTTACCTACTTAACATAGATTAGTAGTATACCAGCTAAAATATAACTTTGTCACTTCTCCACATTTGAGACTGTTATAGAAGAAAATTGCAAGCATTTATTCATTTTAGTTGGGTAAAACAGAACTATTACTGGAGAAATGGAAAGTTGTACAATTGGCCATCAAATGCTTTCCCCCAAGGATCTGGCCTTCCAGAATTTAGTCTTTTTTTGACCTTAGGACTTTTCTGTGTTCCAACCCCCTACATTGTACACCCAACTTCCATTGCTCTGGAAGTTATTCGAATGGCTAGGCAAAACATTTTATTCCAACATTTAGTTCTACTTCATTTCTTCCAGTTATTAAAGAGTCTTTTCTTAAAAGGACAAATACATTTAACCAGGGCTTATGGTAGTTGTAACTTGAATTGATTCCATTTTGTTTTCTCTGTTACTTTTTGTTGTTGCTTTTAAAATCTAGGCTAAGATTCTCAAAAAGCAATAAACAATCATATGAAAAATGTAAATTATATTAAGGCCATGTAAATTAATCTTTCAAAATACAGTGTTATCAAGAGTAGAGTAGAAATAAGGAGAATCATTTAAAATGTATTTCAATTTCATTTGAAAGTATGAAAGGTTAAATTTCATACTTAACAATAGTGATTTAGCAAAAAAAAAAAATTTAAAAACTGAGCAAACTTTAATTTCTTTAATTTAATGGTGTATATTTTTTCTAGTTATATTGGAAAATTATCCATGAAATTTTTTTTAAATTTCAGGAATTCAGAATAATAGTCATCAAATTACTGGTTAAAAAATCCAGTAATAATCTAAATTTAAAAGCTGATTAAGACAGAATAAAAGTCAATTGCATTTGTGCTTGAACAGCAAAAATAAACACAAAACATAAAACAAAAAAATAGCTTTGTCTCCCTGGCCAGTGTGGCTCGGTTGGGCATCTTTCCATGCACCAAAAGGTTGCTGAACCGATTCCTGGTCAGAGCGCATGCAGGAGGCTACCAATGGATGTTCCACTCTCACATTGATGTTTCTTCTCTCTCCCTCTCCATTCCTCTCTCTCCAAAAATAAAAAATGATTTTTTAAAAAAATAGCATTGCCCATCGTATGACACTAAATAAGGTATTTTTGGCTTGTAAGCATGTTAAGTAAACTTGGTTTCCCTGCTTTTTAATTATGCATCACATGTGAATGCAGAGATTTAAAACAACTTTGAATTAAAAGAAACCAAAATCTTTATTCTATACTTTCTTCTGTAGTACTTTGTTACCAGATTTTTGATGCAATTTTTAAAAAGGATGTTTCATATACAACAAATTAATGCTAGCTTGGTCAAAGTCATCTAAAAAAATGTCCCTTACATATTACAATATAATATACAAAACTATAAAATATGTCAAGGTGGAAACTCTCTGGAATTTCTTAAAGTATTAGAAAGTACAACATGGCAAAAGAAAGCATTATAAATAAATAGCATTTAAGCATTCTGTAACATATGGTGTTCTTAGTATAACTGGAGTGCAACTTATCTATATATACACATGAAATTTTTCAGAAGCAGGTGAAGTAAACAAAAGCACCAGTTCTTTAAATTACACTTGATCACGTAGACGAGCAAGTCTCTGTGATAGTTCATCCTGAAGAAAGTTAAAATTTAAAAGTTAGAAGGCTGCGACTAATATAAATCATGAATATTTTAAATAGCTCATATTTTAAATAAGATTAAAATATTGTCTAAAAATTCACACAAAAATAACATTGAGAATATAATTTTAAAAACATTTCAGAATAAATGGAGGACTAAATAAAACAGAAGCTATGAAGGGAAGCAAATTCAATCTTTAAATGAAATATGCATGCAAAGAGAAAATGTCCATCATTGAGGAGTAAAGGCTAAACACAGTATGCTAATTTATGATGATGTCATATTATAGTAGAAATCACTCTTTATAAAAAATATATATATTACTTATATATAAATATATACAATATCTATTTAATTCACACATCAAGTTCATACTAATCAAGACAAAATACAACTTCTACCTGTTCCATGGAAGCAACACTGGTGCCAACAGATCCTGTCTGACCCTGTGGTAGTTCCATATTGAGATCAAGGCTACAATTTTAAAATAATTAGCATAAATAGATGTTAATATAAGCATTTTACTCCTTATATAATTATAAAAGTAATAAAACAGAATTATTGCAAATTTGAATATTCCACCTAGCACTTTACCTTGATTTAAATAAGATAATACTGGTTAAGTTTTATGCATGTAAATAGAAAAGCTAATAAAAGGCAGGAAAATTATTGGTCATCTGAACAAAAGACCAAAATAAAAATCATAGAATGTAATCAATTTACTGAGGTTACCATATGACTCCTATTATAAAAGAAATTTAATATGCCAAAAAGATAAAACAGGTTAGATAAATGTAGCCTCAAGATCCATATCTAACATTTGAGTTAACTTCAAGTTCAGTATTCTAGCTCCTGAGCTACCCTTGGCAGGAATCATTACTTGCATCCATCTCATACAACTGAAGTTTTAAAAAAATTAAGTTCACTTGCCCAAGATCCACCCTAGTAATAGGATTTGAACCCAGGATTTTCTGCCTCCAAGGCCTGTGATGTTAATCTACATTGTACCTACTCCTGTAAGGTATAAGCTAGCCTTTCTGCTTGTATCTACACCAGTGTATGCCATCTTCAGTTTGAAAACACTACAGAGAACTCAGTAACTTTAAAAGTCATTAGGAGAATCTATAGACAGATTGTTACTTACAAGGTAAAGATATGCTATACTAAAATTTTGTTGAGGGAATCACAAACTCAAACAGAATTCGGATACTTAAATATCTTTAAAGATGGGCATCAGTATTTCTACATCAGTGATTCTACCTATTTCTACTGCTCCAGTCACCATCCATTATTAACATAAGTAATTTCTCTTGATTTTGGCCCTCAACCTTCTCTCCACCCACCTGTCCCCAGAAACATCCGACAATGCCTGGATGCATTTTTTACTGTCACAATGGGGTAGGGATGTTATCCTATGGGTAGAGGCCAGAGATGTTTCTGAACATACTATAATGCATCGGACAGCCCCAAGGATTATGTATCCCAAAATGTCAATAGTATCAAGGTTGAGAAATCCTGTTCTAAATCTTCTCAAAAAGTTATCTAATAAACTTGATTTCCACTAAGGGTCAGCAAGGCTGTAATGTAGCAATATTCATTTTATAAGACATTTGCTGTACTTTCAAGCCCAATCTTCTTATTTGGTTTTTAGTAAGAACAGAAATAAGTCCTTAGCTTCATGTTACTAAGATGGAGTCTTCTGATACACAATGCTTTGGTCTCTTAACTACTTAACAAAAATCACCTACATCAGGAAACAAAGCAAAACAGTGTACAACCTACTTGCCAGTCCTATTCTCAAATATGACAAATCTGATTTATTAACCTGGGTTTTAATTCACTATTGACACATTAGTTATTTGAAGAGCTGATAAACTTAACTGTTCATTCTAATCAGGTATTAGCTAACACATTAAAATAATATTCATCAACTCTATTTTCTAGGTGTCTTCAATTCTTCCCTTTCCAGGAGAAAAGGATAGAGTACATAAATCCTATTTTAATTTATTACTCTACCTTTGAGGATAAAGTATAAAACTTCAGTATCACCCAGTTTTCATCTTTATTATTGGGAAAAAAATTATTCGTTACCTACAATCGTCTCTTGAACTAAATACAGTGGAACCTTGGTTCTTGAACTTCATTCATTCCAGAAGTCTGTTCGAGAAGTGATTTGTTCAAAAACGGAATCATTTTCCCCCATTAGAAATAACGTAAGTTGAATTCATCTGTTCCAGACCCCCAAATGATTCCCCGTTTTAACCGTTCTCAATTGCCTGTGATCGTTTTTTCGTGAGTACTTCCACACCCTTAACAACATCAGCACTCTTGATGGCTGCTTTGTTTTAAAATTGTGCTAATTATTGATTTCACAATGCCATACTTGGTAGCCAGATCAGACACTCTATCATACTATGCCATTAGTTTTTCTTTTTTAAGCTCTAACATTGTTTTCACAACTTTCCTTTTCACTTTGCTGCTATCACTAACTTTCTTAGGACCCATGAGGACTTACTGTACACATTTAATAATAATAAGCAGTAACAAAAGCAAAAAAAAAGAAAATATTCACAGCACAATTTCCTGAGATCTTAACAATGCAAGGTTTAGCAGTAAACTGACTCATACTTGCACATTCTCTCCTTTGTTTGTTGCCCGAGAGACACATGACTGATCATACAGGTATCTGCATGAAAGGGCTGTCAGGTCGAGAACTGAACTTTTGAAATTTTGTATGACAAACAAGACATTTTTTTCATGAACAACTTGGTCAAGAACCAAACTGTTCGAGATGGAAGATGTTTGAGAACTGAGGTTTGACTGTTATATACTAGAGAATACTGATATAACATGACTTCTATAGCACAGACATTATCATGGGCAAGTCATTCCCCTCAAACATAAAGGTCCTGAAATAAACAGTCTATTAATAAATATCCTATTTCTAATAACAGTATGACACAGGGTATCAATACTTATTTAAAAATATATATATATGATCACCCTAGCAGGACTGGCTCAGTGGTCAGAGCGCTAGCCCACAGACTGAAGGGTTGCAGGTTGTATTTCAGTCAAGATGACGTACCTCCATAGCAGACTCAATCCCTGGCCCCAGTCTGGGTGTATACGGAAGGCAACCAATCAATGTGTCTCTTTCACAAGGATGTTTCTCTCTCTGTCTCTCCCCCTCCCTTCCACTCTCTCTAAAAATCAATGGGAAAAAATATCCTCAGGTGCTGCCATCTTTTAAAACCCTTGGATATTTTGCACGTCTCGCTCAGTTTGCAGGACTCAAACTGGGCTTAACATAGAAGAACTGTTTTTGAAAGACAATTTTTGTAAAAAGAATCCAAATATTTGCTATATCTGATACATACAGAAGGTATTGAGAAAATGTTTGAACACTCCTGCCTCTCTCAATTACCTTCCTCCATTTCTTATTACAAAATAAATGAATGCATTGCTAGAGATTTTTAAGAAAATACTAGAATGATCTGAACAAAGTCACATTCTTATGAGCATGGCAAAGAGATGGATATTTCAAAGGCCCCTCCAACACTAACTTCTAGGGTCAAAACCCTAACTCTACCATTGGTGGCAATGACAAATATTTTTATCCACACTACATAATTTTAGGACTGACAGATATTAAATCAAGATTAACTAAATCCCCTGAATAATTTCTTACCCAGCTTCATCTGCCATTTCTTGAAGCAGCATATCCACTTGGCTCTAGAATAAGAATATGAGAATTTGCATTTTAATGACAATTGCTTTTGGGGTGGTTTCTGTTTTTGATTTTGCTTAAAAAGGGGAAACTGGTCTGCAATTTTTAAAATAAAAACTTATTTAAAAATATTTTTTACCACCAGAGGGAGCTGATTTCAAAAAGATTTATTTCAGAATTAATGTTAAATAATAAAGCCTTAAACTATGAGGTTATATTAAAAATATCAGCATGGATGGCACTAGAGAAGATTATGCTAAGTGAAATAAGCCAGTCAGAGAATGACAAGTACCATATGATTTCACTCATATGTGGAATTTAATGAACAAACGGAACTACCAAGCAAAATAGAGACAGACTCAGAGAGAGCAGGCAGACAACTCTGGTTGGGGGGTGGGGGTGGGGGAGAGGTAGAATGTTGGAAAGGATGGAGGGTTTGAGCAAAAAAGAAAAAAATAAGAGAGAACTCATGGGCATGAACAATAGTGTGGTGACTGTCCTGACTGGTTTGGCTCAGTGGATAGAGCGTCGGCCTGCGGACTGAAGGGTCCCGGGTTTGATTCCGGTCAAGGGCATGTGCCTTGGTTGTGGGCACATCCCTAGTGGGGGGTGTGCAGGAGGCAGCTGGTCGATGTTTCTCTCTCATCGATGTTTCTAACTCTCTGTCTCTCTCCCTTCCTCCCTGTAAAAAATCAATAAAATATATTTAAAAAAAATAGTGTGGTGACTGTGGCGGGGAGGAGGGTGTGTGGAGGTGGAAGAGGGCATAGAGGGGATAAATGGTAATGGAAAAAAATTGAGTTCCCAGGTACTTATGTGCTGGGGTCCAGCACCAGCAGGTCCAGGGGTTCCCATAGGTGTGGACGGAGTCGGCAAAGAAGGAAAGGCACGGAGACAGCATTCAGTTGATCATCATAGCCAGGTTCTTTGTTTATTGTCTTGTTAAATCTGTATTTATACCAGTTGATTTTAATCCTATCAATTCTATTCCAAAGGTTAGGGCGTTTCTTATCTCCATTCCAAGGTTACTCTATTGTTCTATTAAGCTACAAGGAAGTAACTGAAGGAGATTATCCTAAGTAAAGATTATGTAGTGATTAATTACCCGCCTGGCACTTAGTTAAGGGGTTTTATTCCCTCCCTAACTCCAGGGAAAAATCCTCACCTGGGGAAACAACCTTTCTCAGGGAGGTGACCTTGGTTAAAACACATAGCTCTAAGAAGGGGAGCAAACATATTAAGAACAGTAATGCCATATACGCCAGGTCCCTTGAAACATATGCTGTGCAGATGTTTCTTCCCTGCAGCGACTGTGTCAAGCAGCAAGGATGGACCGGCTTCCGGAATTTATGTAGTGATATTCACATATAATTTGAAACCTGGGTAATGTAGCTCTCTTTAAGAAAGTGAACCAATATATAAAGCTCTTTAAATTTTTTTAGAAAATATTTTATTGATTTCAGAGAAGGAGGGAGAGGGAGAGATAGAAACATCAATGATGAAAGAGAATCATTGATCAGCTGCCTCTTGCATGCCCCAGACTGGGGATGGAGTCTGCAACCCGGGGCATGTGCCCTGACTGGGAATCAAACCATTACCTCCTGGTTCATAGGTCAATGCTCAACCATTTAGCCACACCAACTGGGCTATAAAGCTCTTTTCTAACCCACTTTGCTTATATTTGAAGTGTAATAGATTTGAATTTTATATTAATTATAATTATTCTTTTTGCTAGTTGACACAACTTTTATATTAAGGATTACTCTTTAAAAATACTTACAGATGAATAAAATATAAGTATAGTGAGATATTTACTACAGTACAGGAGTTCTCAGGAAATAGAGTGTCATTAATCAAAACAACTCTTGTTTTTTACTTAGTTGTTAAAAAATATTTTGGACTTACTGGTGGGAGTTCTAAGATATAGTTCCAGCGCTATCATTAACAAAGTGTATGATTTTAAGCAACTCACTGATCTTGCTGTTGGGTTTTAGTTTCTCTTGTTCTCTTTCATTCACTTATTAATTTTTATTTATTTTTTCCTTTTTATTGAATTTATTGGGGTGATCCTAAAATGCAGGAAAAGTTCAGAAACAATAGATTGAATATTATGTGCATTTACATTTTGTTGTTTTTACTTTATATCTAACATAGCATTATTTGTGTTTTTAAAATTTACTTAATAGTATTATACTATACATACTATTCTGCAACTTACTTTTCTTATTCAAACTTGTAAGATCTAATTCTGTTGAGATCTACTTCATTCACGGTCACTCATGTGTGATACTACAGTATAGAAATACATTCTGTTTCATTTATCCATTAATTGCTGGACATTTAGATCCCCCCCACTAATTTGTCCCAGTTATAGATAATGGTGCCATGAACATTCTCATGTATAAATATCTTTGTACATACACACGGGTTTCTTTGTGTATATATTTGGAAGTAAAAGTATTAGCTTATAAGTTACATGTATTTTCATATACTTTAATTACTTCAACAAATATTGAGAACTATTTTATGCCAGATATCACTTTAAGTGCTAGGAATGCATCAATGAACAAAAATGATAAAAATTCCTGCCTTTTTAAAAATTGATTTTTAGAGAGAGAGGAAGGGGGAAGAGAAGAATAGGGGGAAAGGGTGGGAGAGAGAAATACCAATTTGTTGTTCTACTTATTTATGCATTCATTGGTTGATTCTTTTATGAGCCCTGACCAGAGATTGAACCCACAATCTTGGTGCATAGGAACAATGCTCTAACGAACTGAGCTACCTGACCAGGGCTATCCTTGCCTTCTTTAAGCTTACATTCTAGAGCAGTGGTTCTCAACCTGTGGGTCACGACTCCTTTGGCGGTCTAACGACCCTTTCACAGGGTCACCTAAGACCATCCTGCATATCAGATATTTACATTACGATTCATAACAGTAGCAACATTACAGTTATGAAGTAGCAACGAAAATAATTTTATGGTTGGGTCACAACATGAGGAACTGTATTTAAAAGGGCTAGAAGGTTGAGAATCACTGTTCTAGAGTGTGCACATGAAGGGGAGCAAGTAAAAAGTTTTAAAAATTGTATAGTATATTAGAAGGTGATAAGTACTATGAAGAAAAATAAAGCAGGGATGTGGGGCGTATAGGGAATGGTGGGTATGCTCTTGATGTACTTTTAAGTTGGATGGTTAGGAAAGACCTCATCTAGAAAATGACAAAGAACTGAAGAAGGTGGGGAGTTGGCAATGAGGATATCTGCTAGATGGAGGAAGAACATTCAGGCAAAGGAAATTGAAAGAGGAACAGCTTTGAGACAGAAATGTACTTGGTGTGTTTGAGAATTAACAAGGAGGTCAAGTGCCTGATAGAGTGCTAAGCAATAACAGCAGATAAGGTCAGAGAAGCAGGGAGGGGCAGATCCCATAGGATATTACAGGCAATTGTAAAAAATTTGGTTTTCATTTTTAGGGAGATGTGGAGCCACTAGAAGATTTTGAGCAAAAACGTTGCATGATCTGACAATTTTAACAGGATCACTCTGGCTGTTATGTTAAAAGCAGACTGTAGATATTACCAAATTGCCTTTCCAAAGTGGATATGCCCATTTAAATTCGAACTGCTCATTAGCAGCTTATGAAAATGTAGGTAACTAAGTGTGTTCAACCAGATCCCTTTCTGTTTCTGTTAGAATGTTTTGCATATATTTGACTATCCTCAGCACCTCGCACAATACCTTAAACACAAGGTGCTCAGCAAATGTTGGGTGAATAAATCTGAAGATTTTTCAGAAGTAAAAGGCATTTTCATATCATTGGTTCCAAGCCTTACATTTTATAGCTACATATACTGAGGCCCATGGTTGTAAATATTTTAAGGTGCCAAAGTTAATTAGTGGTAGAATGGGGAATAGAAATCCAAGTGTCCTGGATTCTAAGATGGCTGCTGACAGAACAGCAGCCTGCAAGATAGTGTGTGAATGAGAGAACAAAAGGAGAGTGAGTGGATGTGCGGGGAGTGTATGTATTTGTGAGGGAGGGACAGCTATATTCCAAGGAATTGTTGGGGACTGCCGGACCGGGCTCCCCTAGCCGGGCAGCCTCTAATGCTGGTAAAATCTCTCCCGTAGCGGCTGGCTCTGCACAGAGACTGTGCCATCTTGAAGGGGAGAGTGGCAGTGATCTGAAGCCCAGCCTTACCTTCAACCGGGGAGATCCTCGGATACCTCCTGGGACCCTACAACCACAACCCCCAGAGACCAGCTACCTCAGCTACAAACCCAGGAATACCAAGACTCCAGCTTCTCCGACTGCAGGCACCTAGAAAGTCTGTCCAGGAGGAGACAAAGTGGCACAAGTACGCAGACGACCCCTGTGCCTTCTCACAGAGCAGAGAGAAGGAACAGCTAAATTGATTAATATCCACCCAGAATTGGCGAATTAAACACAGCTGGTGAGAAATCCGTAGATGGAAAGGTTAGCTATTGCCTAGCCAGTGATGGCGAACCTATGACACACGTGTCAGAGGTGACACGCGAACTCATTATTTTGGTTGATTTTTCTTTGTTAAATGGCATTTAAATATATAAAATAAATATCAAAAATATAAGTCTTTGTTTTACTATGGTTGCAAATATCAAAAAATTTCTATAGGTGACACGGCACCAGAGTTAAGCTAGGGTTTTTCAAAATGCTGACACGCCGAGCTCAAAAGGTTCGCCATCACTGGCTTAGGCCCTAGGGAGAGGTGAGATCTGGGGTCCAGGCTGAAGGGAGAAACACTTGCAAAATGTGCGTGAAATGCACGCAGTGGGAACCAGAGTCTCAAAGGAAGACTGCGCCCCACAAAATGCTCGCTGTTGGGGTAAGTGTAGCCCTCGAATGTGGAAGGGGGTCCACAGGGCTGCGGGCAGAAGGAGACTATAGAAATTAACCCACGGCAGGGCCAGGCAGGGGAGGGCAGTCAGGAGTTCTGCCAGTGCGCTGGCTGCAGAGTGCCAGGGGAAGACGCGAGTCTGCGCGCATCCTGTGGCTTTTTCCGTCTTTATTTTTTATTTTTTTATTTTTCTTTTTTAAATCCTTGCTTCTGATTACTAAGCCCAGTACATAGGATCTTCCAATTAAAAAACATTGCTGAGACTGCAGGGGAAAGCTGTTTTTGTGGAACCTGGAGAACAGAGTGTGGAGAAACAAACAGAAAGACAGCTCTAGGGCAGTCCATCCCTCTAACCCAGCATTAAGTGCAGCAGGGAAAGCCATCTAAAGGCTGGGTAGGGGAGGAGCCTTTTAGCCCCGGATATCAATACAGAAACACTGCCACCCAGGGGTTGTATCAAAAATTGACTCTTGTGTGAATGCAAGTAAAGGCAGACTAAGAAACAAAGAGCTCTCAACTGCTTGAAAAAAGGATTATGACATGACGCTGTGGAGCGCAGGGAACTCCAATACTGGGCTGTCTACCTGACAGGAAACAGACCTGCCAAACAGAAAAGTCGAGGAAGTGAACGACCTTCACTACTTCACATTTTTATTTTTTATCTTTTACTTGAGAAACTATTTTTCTTTCTCACCTGATTTTACCTTTTTTATTGTTTTGTTTTTAATAACTATTATTACTACTATTATTTTACCTTTTTAAAAATGTTTTATTTTATTTTATTTTATTTTATTTTGGGATTAGTGTTCTACATTCTATTTTTATTTTTCCTGCAGCATTATTTTACTCTATCTCAATTTTTGCTTTATACCAACACTCTTCCTCATGTTCCCCTTTTGTCCTGTTTCTCTTACCCTGTTCCTGCTTTAGTTTTTCTCTATCCTTTCTTTTTACTCCCTGTTAAAAATTGATCTTACTCATATATCTAAATTCTGCTCCCCTGCTCCAAGCACACACACATTTTTCTCTTACCTTTCTTCACTATCCAGATTTTCTTCTACTTCCCTTTTTTTTTGAGTTGTTTTGTTTTTTTCTTTTTTCTTTATTTTAAATCATTTGCGTTTTTCTTTCTTTCTGTTTTGTTAATGTTTGATTCTTGATTAGTTTTGTTTTTATTGCTTGTTTGTATTTGTTTTTTTGGTTTTTTCTTTTGTTGTTTGTTTTTGTTGTTGCTGCTGTTTTTTTTGCTTCTGTTATTCCTTTCCTCGCTTGTTCTCTTCTTCTACTAATAGCTTAACTAATTAAAATCACAAACTCAGGCCTAGCTACTCTCTATTCTCCTTTTCCAATAGTAAAGGAATACATAGATAAGTAGATAGATTAAATAGTAAAGGAATACACAGAGAGATACACACATCTATACTAATAAAAGAGTAATATGCTAATTAGACCGGGAGACCTTCCAGAGACCTTCTATATGTCAGTTTGACATGCTTGTTCTAGAGCAAGTATAAAATAGTGGTTAAATATATATCCTCACTATAAGATATACACATGAATTCTTTCTTTCTTTACTCTAAAACCTAAAGATAAACTTGTTCTCTTATTTACCTTTTTGTGAAAAGAGTCATTGGAATTAAAATATCAATGGACAGTTGCTGATTACTTCCTAACCTATTCTGTAAATTACATTTTCTCCATATTAGTAAAGTAGTAATACCAAGTCTTTCTTTGTTCATTTGATTAACCAGGTAGAACCAAGTTCCAAACTCTCTAGACATTTGACCTAGTATAATTTTTAGAATTTCAAAATAAGATAGGGAACGGCATCTTCCAATATGTCCTTAGGAATCCAGGGGCAAAGCATAACTTCCTACTTGCATTTTGGGGATACACCATGTTTACTTCACATTCTAGAGATGATTTTGGCACACAAAGCCATTATATTATGAACTCAGGTAATTTTTTAAAAGTTATTCTAAGTAAAGAAACTATTCTTACTTGTGGTGTTGTTAGGGTTGTAGTACTACTCATTGTGTCTTCCATTTGTTGTGTTTGAACATCCAGTGTTTCAAATTGGTGTTCAAATTTGTCCATCAGGGCAGAAATCTGTAAAAAGAAATATGGTCATAAGAAAAACTTATACTGAAAAGATGCTATCTGAACATCAAATAATTTTTTTTTTACCTTTTCAAGGTTCATACTCCTCAATGTAGCATCCATAGATTTAACTACACCTGCCATGGACTTGGTTACCTATTGGAAGCATTAAAAAAAAGATTGAGCATGCTATAAGTAATCTCAAACTTCAGGTAGTCTCTTAAATATATTACTTACAGATTAACTTGTAAAATTTACCTACCCTTTCTTTAACAGTAAAAGTACAGTATGTATGTTTGGTCTTTGATTCTTCATTGAAAGACAACTCATAAATCTTAGTTTAAAAGCCACTGTCAAAATAATTTTCCTCACCATAGTCAAAGACATACTTTGACTATGTCTCTCTTGCCCATAAAGGCCTTTACTAGCAATCTACAGCACCTTGCAATGGATTTAGATTTCCAGCAACTCCTAATACTCTCATTAAACTTAAATCAAGAGTTCCTACTGTTTATAGATATTAAGCCTTACCTTGCCCATTGTTACTGCAGTTTGAACTCTGGCTGCCACAGCATCAACCCTAGCACTCATTCTCAAGAAATTAATTGCTTGGTTCTTCTGGCGGATTGCATTTTCAGCATGTATTCTTGCAACTTCTGTATTCCCTTTCTGAATAGCCTGTTTCACACAGAGCAAAAAGTAAATAGTGGTGAAGACAAGTTTTAATAATATTTAAGAGCTTTCACAATTAGTTTTTAAGGAGATAAAATGAGAATTTATAGTTAAGTTTAAAATCATACTTTTAAAATTCCTCATAATCACATCACTGAGCCATTACCACTGTTAATATTTTATTTAGTGTTATAGTATTCCAAGTACATAAACCTATTTATTACAAAGAAAATTTATTATAAAGTAAATGCATAAGACACACTGTTTTCTCATCTAATTTAAAAAACACATCTTTTTAAGTCAAATATATAACTACATCAACATTTCTAAAGGCTGATAGCATGAATGTACCACTAACCAGGGCTTTCCTTGTGACTGGTACAAACACTACAGAGTACATAAAATTACTTTGGATATACACAGACAACCATCTTCACTTTAATTATGCATTTATTTAAATGTATTGTTTGAAATAAATATAACTAACACAGACCTAGGCTTTTCTTGCTCTAATAGCTTTGGCCAGGGCTAAAGTTAAAAGTCAATTTAGAAGAAAATATTAAATAGCTCAGATAGACCTCCACAAAAGCAAAATGGAGAAGGTACAAAAGTAACAGAAATGTGAGAACATGCATAGATTAAGATCCTGGTGGGCACATAGTACAATATACAGATCTTGTATCATAGATATATACACTTGAAACCTATATGATACTATTAACCAATGTCACCCCAATAAATGTATTACAAAATTTTAAAAATCCCTTAATGCTGGGAATTTAGTTTCTTTCCAATTCTTCAATAATATAAAGAGCAATGTAATAAAGATACTGGAACATGCAATGTCACACTTTCCATTTTTTTTCCTAGTCAACATCCATCACCACACAGTTATAACTTTTTTCTTGTGAAGAGAACTATTAAGATCTATTCTCTCAACTTTCATATATACAATACAGTATTATTAGCTATAGGCACCATGTTGTACATTAGATCGCCAGGACTTAATTTATAACCAGAAGTTTGTATCTTTTGACCATTTTCACCCTTTTCACTCACCTCCTATCCCCCTTCTCTGGACACCATCAATCTCTTCTTTATCTATGAGTTGTTTTTAAGATTACACATAAATGAGATCACATGTATTTGCCTTTCTCTGTTTGATCTATTTTTAGTTAGCATAATACCCTCAAGGTCTATACACACTATTGCAAATGGAAGGATTTCCTTCTTTTTTATGGCTTTTTATTGTTGATTTTGCTTTGATCCTTTTAGTGTAAAATGCATCATAGCCATGAGTACAACTATTTGCAGTTAAACCTCCTAGCAAATACACAAACATAATACACATTAATACTATACACTGTTTAGATATAAACTTCAGAGACTACAAAAATTAAAATGAACCAAAAAACATTAAATTTTAGCCCTAACCGGTTTGGCTCAGTGGATAGAGCATCAGCCTGCGGACTCAAGGGTCCCAGGTTTGATTCCGGTCAAGGGCATGTACCTTATTTGCGGGCACATCCCCAGTAGGGAGTGTGCAGGAGGCAGCTGATCGATGTTTCTCATCAATGTTTCTAACTCTATCCCTCTCCCTTCCTCTCTGTAAAAAATCAATAAAATATTTTTCTTTAAAAAGAAATGCTTCTCACTTTTAAAAAAAATTAAATTTTATTCTTACATATAGGCTTTATACTTCTAAGAGTAGTTTGGGCTACAAACCAAAGGGCAATCTTTAGACGTAGGTAACAGAACAGTTATACTCTGTATGTGAGCTACACTTGAACATGTAAATAGTAATAAACAAAAAAAGCCATTATTAACTATATCAAATAATAAATAATTTATTTAAATATATATTTGGTTTAAAATGCTAAAGCCAGTAATCTTTCTTTTTTTACCTTTATTGCTGAGAGTATTCCAAATGCCCCCCTTTTCCCCCACCACCCAGTTCCTCCCTGCCCCAGGGATTCAACAGTCTGTCCCATGTTTCCATGTCTCTGGTTCTATTTTATTTATCAGTTTATTGTGTTTATTAGATTCCAAATATAAGTGAGATCATGTGATATTTGTCTTTCTCTAAGCCAGTAATCTTTCTTCAATGTAAAATAAACTGAAACATCCACTCTTGCATGATTAATTGTGCTATCATGAGTTTAAAAAAGATAAAAATAATAAAAGTAGCTTACCTTTTTAATCTTGGCCTTTTCAGCCTTTTCTTCTTTATCACATTTCTTGGCATTCCTATTAAGCTCTTTTGCAGCAAACTTCAAGTTAAATAGGTGTTCTATAAATATATGTTAAGGCTATTCTAAAAAAGTCATTTCCCAATAACTAACTGCAAATGAGATGTTAAATTTATAAAAATTATCAGATAAAATTATGTTATTTAAACCAACTATTCACAAAGTATTAGAGAAAACAGAAAAACTTTTACCTATTCCACATTTTTTAATTTAAAAACTTCATTACAAAGATGGCTGCCGACGGGATGGCAGGCTGCAAGATAGTGTGTGAATGAGAGAATGAAAGGAGAGTGCGTGGACGTGCAGGGAGTGTCTGTATTTGTGAGTGAGGGACAGCTATATTCCACAGGACTGTTGGGGACTGGTGGATCAGGCGCCCCTGGCCGGGCAGCCTCTACTGCTGCTGAAATCTCTCCCGGGGCAGCCGGTTCTGCTGCAGAGACCATGCCATCTTGAAGGGGAGAGTGGCTGTGATTGGAAGCCCAGCCTTACCTTCAACTGGGGAGACTTCATATACATCCCGGGACCAGCTGCCTCAGCTGTGAACCCACAAACACCAAGGCTCCAGCCTACCAGACCATGGGTGCCTAAAGTTTGTCCAGGGGAAGACAAAGATGCGCCGAATACATGGACGGGCCCTGTGCCTTCTCACAGAGCAGATAGAAGGAACAGCTGAATTGAATAATATCCACCTGCAATTGGTGAATTAAAGACAGCTGGTGAGAAAATCAGTGTACAGAAAGGTCAGAGATAGCCTAGAGCAGTCGTTCTCAACCTTGGCTGCACATTAGAATCACCTGGGAATCTTTTTTAAAATCCTGATTTCTGGGACTCATCCTCCGGAAATTGTTTCTTTGTTACTAATGTGGTGGCCTCACCCCATAACAAAGAAACAGAATTTCTGGAGGATGAGGCCCAGAAATCAGGATTTTAAAAAGGTTCCCAGGTGATTCTAATGTGCAGCCAAGGTCGAGAACCACTGGCCTAGAGAAAGGTGAGATCTGAGATCCAGGCTGGAGAGAGAACCGCGTGCAGAGGAGACTAGAGTCTCAGAGGGAGACTGTGCTCCACCAAACCCGGAGCCCTTGGGGTCAGTGTAGCCCTCGAAAGTAGAAAGGGGTCCACAGGGCTGCTGGCAGAGGGGGACTCTAGATATAAGCCCACAGCCATGAGAATCTATGCCCAGAAAGGCAGCCTGAAGTTCTATACCGGCTGTGCAGTGCCAGGGGAAACAGATGTGAGTGGGTGCGGTTCCTTTGTCTTTGCTTTTTTTCTCCTTGCTTTTGCTTGCTAAGTCCAGTACATAGGATCTTCCAATTAAAAACATTCACTGAGACTGCAGGGGAAAGTTGTTTTTGTGGAAACTAGAGATCAGAATAAGGACAGACGAGCAGGAAACCAGCTCTGGGGCAGTGTGACCCTCCAACCCAGTATTAAGTGTGGCAGGGAAAGAAGAATCTAAACATTGGGTAGAGGGGACATTTAGTCCTGGATATTAATACAGAAACACTGCCACCCGGGGGTTGTGTCAGAAATTGACTCTTGTGTAAATACAACTGAGGGCAGGCAGAGAAACAATGTGAGCAGAGAGATCCCTCCAGCTTGAAAACAAGGTTGTGGCTTATGACACAGAGGAGTGGTGGATCACAGGAAACTTCAACACTGTGCTGACTATCTGACAGGAAACAGACATGCCAAGCAGAACAGTAGAGGAAGTGAACGACCTTCACTACTTCACTTTGTTTTTTATCTTTTACTTAAGAAACTAAGTAAAACTTCATTTTACTTTTTTTATTATTATATTTTTATTTTTATTTATTATTACTACTATTATTTTACCTTTTTTAAAAGTTTTATTTTATTCTATTTTTTCTTTATTTTATTTTGGGATTAGTGTTCCACATTCTATTTTTCTTTTTCTTTTAGCATTATTTTACTCTATCTCAATTTTTCCATTATGCCAATACTCTCTTCCTCACTTTTCCCTTTTCGTCCTGTTTCTCTCACCCTGTTCTTGCTTTAGTTTTTTGCTATCATTTCTTTTTACTCCCTGTTAAAAATTGATCTTACTCATATATCTAATTTTCTCTCCCCTGCTCCAAGTCCATGCACACTTCTCTCTTCTCTGTCTTCACTATCAAAACATTTTTTCTTCCTTTTTTTCTTTTTCTTTCCTTCTGTCTTTTTCTTAAAATATATTTTATTGATTTTTTTTACAGAGAGGAAGGGAGAGGGATAGAGAGTTAGAAACATCGATGAGCTTGCCCCCTGCACACTCCCCACTAGGGATGCGGCCCACAACCAAGGTACATGCCATTGACCAGAATCGAACCTGGGACCCTTTAGTCCGCAGGCCGACGCTCTATCCACTGAGCCAAACCAGCTAGGGCTCTTTCCTTCTGTCTTATTGTTGTTGTTTGTGTGTTAGTTTGTGGTTATTTTTTTGTAGGTTTTTTTTTGCTTCTGTTTTTCCTTTCCTCGCTTGTTCTCTTCTTCTAATAGTTTAATTCCAATCACCAACTAAGGCCTATCTACTCTCTATTCTCCTTTTCCAATAATAAACAAATACATAGATTAAAGAGAAAATTATATATATATGCAAATTTTCTTTTAAATATATATTTTTAATTCATACTAGTATATATATTTTTTCTTTTTATGTATCTTGTTTTTTACTTTTCTGCTTATACACTCATTCTCTTTCTACCTCCTCTATACTGAATTGTGGCTATTTCCCCATTCATTCAATTCCTTGACCTTATCTTCTGGAAATAAGCTCTTTTGTTTGAGTGTTTATTGTTGGCATTTTTTGGATTAGTTGTTGTTTGTAGTTTGCATTCATCTCTGGGTGTATCTTGTTTGCATTTTTTGGATTAGTTGTAGTTTTTTTGCAGTTTTCTCCCCATATACATATATTTTCCCCCCTTCTTTTTTCTTCTCTTTCTTTTCTCTCTTACATTTTTTCCTTTCTCAATATCATTTTTGCACTCTTTTCTATCCCCTAATTCTATTTCTCTGGTTGTAACCTTTATTTGGGGTTATTAGTATCGTGAATACATTTGTTTGGTGCCCTGTGTCTTGTTTTGTTGTATTTTGTGCTTTTAAGTCAATGCAAGAGAGAGTGAGCCACATAACCAGACACCCGGAAAGGAGCGATCATAGGGAGACAAAGAAATAGCCTGCATACAAAAGAAAAGGAGGAATCACCAGAAAAGGAAGTAAAGGAAATGGAGGCAAGCAATATCTCAGAGAAAGAATTCCGATCAATGGTCATAAGGACACTGAAAAGGATGGAAGACAAATTCAATAATATGTGTAAAAACCAAGAGGAAATGAAAACTGATATCGCTGCAATAAAGAACACAATAGAAGGCATTAACAGTACGCTACAAGAAGCAGAGAACTGAATCAGTAAGCTAAAAGACAAGGTAGGAAAAAATACTCAAGCAGAGCAGCAACTAGAAAAAAACGTAAAACAGGAGGAGAGGCTAAGGGAACTTTGGAGCAATCTGAAACGAAACA